CAAAAATCCGGTGCACTAGTGTTCCAAAGAGATTCAATCCCGCCAGTTAGCTGAAGAAACCTATGTGTCAGTCACCTACAAAAATCATAGCTGTATCCTGATTAGTTTACCGCAGTGGTTTTAATGGGGCATGTTGGTACTGAACAATTATGAGCCACCTCCAGACAAAGTGAAGTCTACCTAGGGAATCCGACTTATCCCGATTTTAGAACTTACGATTGGCGATGTGACGGCACATTGCAAATCCATGGAGAGGAAAATGAGCTTTCCGGGGGGTAAAATACGCTTTGCTGGATGCACCTCCAAATGTGGGGGTTATCTGACAGACTGGGTCGGAAATACCACACTCGCTACATAGTAGTCGGTCTGCTTTTGTTTGTTGACGCGTCGTTCTGCTTAGAGAAGGTTGTATCCTTCTGAAAATTTGCTCTGAATAGGGAAACATACGCAGGTCTCTGGGTATTTAGTTCACATGGTGTGTTCACAAACATCTCACCCCAAAGCGCCAGTTCGTCAAAGTTCTCTACCCAGCTTACAGTTGCCCACGCATTTCAGGTCATCAGTTGAAAGAATTTAGCGCCGCTCGATGAAACCCTACCAGCCAGTCGAACTCAAAGGTGTGAAGGATCAATAAGTCTTCTATCCAAGAAAGCTATTCAATGGCCTTATTCATGAGACATGTCTGTCCGATAAAACAATTGTTTCCTCAGTCATTCACGTTTTCTAAATAGATACGATAAGGATTCATGTTCGGCTGAAGATTGGGAAGAAGATTATTCCTTCATTTTCGTTCACAAAGCGATCACTTCTGTTGCGGACCGCCAAAAATGCTACTTATAGTACGTGTAGACGGTCAGTGGAAGGTAAAACGACGGAGTGTAAATAAAATCTAGTGTGCAATGGAATTTGTTGAAATGTAGCATCTGGGAGTGGTAGGTACCGGACGGGCAAAAATGGAGACGGGTGTTTGATTTTCAATTGATTTAAAGTCATTTGATCACGCAGCGGCGGGATCTGGAATGGTGGATGTGGTGGTGATGTGGAACAAAACTGGCGATCTTCATGGAGTTACACATCCAGAGCGGAGGCAATTTAAGACAGGACAAAAAGTTGGAGTTTTAGATGATCAGCTGATGACAGTATCAGCTCACTGAATGATGCTACTAGGACACGAGATACTGATGTGATTCGATGTTAACTATAGTACACAGCGGTTTACTTGAACGAATTCTATGGGTCAAGGGCAGCGGAAAACAGATAGCAAACGACTACTGCTTCGTTTGTTAAGCTAGCTGTGGGAATATTTCTATATGCATATGTCACTGATGTATACATTACTTTACTCTCTTACCTCAGGAGATACTGTGCATCATGCCAGAGCTCGTGCACCAATCGCAAAAAACTTTGAAAAGTTACCGTATTCCATTAAAGTATTTGGGTGGTTGGATGAAAATTCCAAGCATATATATACCTGCACATACTAGTTCTGCTTGTAGTTCTATATATACACGTATAGGTGTATACACAGCTATGTAGGCTGCCGCACTAATATGAGAAAGCATAGAGGAATACAGGAGCACATGGCGAATAAACAATCATTCACTTCGACTGATTTTGCGATTAATCTGTAATATCAACCAAAGTGGAGGCAACTGACCGTTATTTGTATTCGGTTGCCTACTTCTTTCTAATGAGAAGTGTAATTGATACCTAGTATTTGATGCATGGTTATTCCACCAAATTCCACGTTTATCGATCTACTGACAGAATACTATGGGCATACTAGAACAGGTCACCCCATTGCGGTGATGTATAGGCTATTGGCAAGCTGAGTTTATGTCGTGTCCCCAAGGGAAGTGCATCCACTCGAAAATTCTGCATGAAGGATCCACGTTTGTCCAGGTAGCCTCAGCACAGACATCTATAAACTCGACCCGCAGATGCCTCAGCCCATCCCAGCGACAACAATAAAACGGCCGTCACTGTTCATTCTGTTCCACATCTCACTGTCGAGATGTGAAAATACACCCCATAATTTCTCACTCCACAACAACGAGTGGCTATATGAAAATCATCCAGACAACAACATCCAACCTGCTTATCGGTGTGTAAGCGCAACAAAATCATCTGCTGCTTGCTACATCTATTCACATCTACTCGCTTTGTCCTAATGAATTTGAAAGTCAAATGAGTAAGAATCCTCGGGCTGGAACAACGTTCTAAAGGGACTAATGGCTTAAACCTAATGGTGAGTCCATTCCAGCGGAAAAACAGACAAAAATGTTTCTACCTGTTCATCGAGACAAATTATATTTGAGCAGTTAGGTCGTATATTACTCTATTGTTTCGAGGATATGGTAACTAGAACTAATGTACCCTTGATAGCTGACAGACAACATAGTTTTGAGGCTCCTTTTTATCTGCTTCTATGGAAGATCGAGATAATCATCGGTTCCCAGTTGGATGAACAAACCCATTCAAAACCGTCCAGAAATTATTCATGCAAAGGAATTCTTTTCAACAGTTACACTGTTTGGAACGCGAAGCATCAGTTCAAGGTTCCGTTCCGATCGGAACAGACTTAACATATCCCAAATCCTGAAATGGGTTTAGGAAAATTGAAGTTTGGACAAATCGTTGGGATGATTCGCACAATGGATCAACAACCACCGATTAGAGCACCTGAACGACAATCAAAACAGATTGGTGTTGACCGGAAACGAATGTCAGAAAAAAACTCGCTTCCAGTAAACGGAAGATTTTTCTCACCAAAAACCATGGATAGATTCAACGACTGCAATTCCATATCAGTAGTACTCTTGTGACAGTCTCGTTCAAGACTGTCCGATTGAGTGTTAGACGTGTAGATACCTCAGAACTTGTGTGACGGGTTAATATTAAATCCAACTTGACAGCATAACCATCCCCCATTCATTTGCTTATTCCGTCTGTCCCGATCTATCCCATCGTGACTTCCGTGTGGTCGCACCGCCAATCAGAATCACAAGGGTGAACTTGGAAGGGACCACACTACTAAGCCAACATTCCGCTCGCCGTTGTTTGGTGTGCAGACGTTGGCACTCCATTATGCCGGTCAGTGAAAGACTTGGGCACTTGTTGACGCTACGCAACAATCCACAACCAATTGAAGTTTGTGGTATAGTTTTACCTACGGTAAGTTATCGAAATTCGATTGGGAAACTGTTACTTTAAAAACTTTTTCTTAAACCCCACCAGAGGCAGTCGTTCGCAATTGTGCGTGTTCTCAGAGCAAGCATTCCCAGTTCGCCGGCCAGTGGTGAGCAACTCTAGCGTCGACGCTATTTCATGCTCGATGTCTGACAGGTGATAACACTGATGTTCATAGTATATCATCAAGCAGTACTTTAGAATAAAGTTTTGTATTACGGCAAACTCGAGAAGCTGAAGTGACGATTGTGCAATCTGGGATACTTGTTACTAGAGACTGCACTCAGAAAGGCCACTGTTTAGCCTGTGGAGATTTCCCCCCACCCCCGATGAGACAAACGAGTAGAAGGCCACCCTTCTACCGGGCCTGTGAAATGGTCTCTCGATAGAAAACAAATATAGAATCGTATCCGTTGAAGAGACAAACTTCCACGAGATATCACTTCCTATCTGTGTTTTCGAGCGGTGTAAGAAACTATAGTAAATTTGTTCCTTCTGATGAGCCACCAAAAGTGAGCTCCTTTGATAGTTGGTCTCTTCTGGGAAGGACCTAAGGGAGACGACGTATAGTAAGACCCTCACTTGATATAAGTGGTGCTCCTGCAAAAGGCCTTCCATTCGATATTTACACCGGCTAGTTCATTCGAACAGTAAACCAGCCCCGTCCTAGCTTTCGGAGAATTTCTGACGTGTGTCTTGGTATTTGAACATGCCTAGAATTCAAAACTTTCATATCAGGATCACTCAAGTGGATCGCAGAAAAGTAGGAGTTAGTCAGCAGGAATGTGTGAAATCTTTGAACTATTGATTCATACCTTTTCTGAATAATGCCAATGCATGCGATCTTAGAAAGACAGTAATCTGTGATTGGGATGATCGCATAATGAATTATCCCTTACGGGGGAGATGTTACGTATCTTCGAGCATAGATGCCTCCGTTTGGAAGGGTCACTTTAGAGTTTTTAAATGCACAGCACTGCACGGAATACCTGGTTTAAAAAATTCGAACATGTGAAACGAGGATAGTGGTACCGAACACTGTGAGCCAACATACTGCACAGAAATTGGAATATGCGAATAAAACTATTGTATTATGTGGTTGATTTTTGAAAGTTACTGCGTTTGTCATCTTTTTCGTACACGCATTACGGCTTCCGTAAAGTGGACCTCGGTCTACCCATGTAGTCGGGAACGACGAGGAACGCTACTGTTCCCTCTTGAGGTCAGTAAACTTTCTTTAGAAGAGTCTATTTCGTGTAGGCGAAAATCACGTCTGCAAACCTCCACCGCATGGGGAGCAAATTTCCGTTTATTATAATAAACCATGTGCTTACTAGAGGCATTCATCTAGGGAGAGCCAAAACATTTTTTCTTACGCGCCTTTGCTGCGAAAAAACTATCCCTCAAAGACACCGGGATTGTCCATTTGGAGCTGGCGGGTGGTGTCACATAAAATTTGTCAGTTACAAGCTAAACTTCAAGCTCCTAAATTGATTTACTTGAGTCCCTCTCAGGAGTGGAGGTTATTTGGAGGGCGACGACTTTACCCACTTCCATTTTTTTTAACTTTATACGAGAGAGATACGATGGAAACAGTGAATATAATGCTTCAAACGTCGTGACCAAAAAAGATTACTGTAGGAAGTGGACAAGGCCGGCTGAAGGCAACCACCATACGGATGTGGTTGGTATCGAGAGATTTCACCATGTATGACACTAATTTGAGACAGGTAGGATCATAGGAATTTAACCGATACCTGGTGCGACTGGTGTTACTCAGCAAACAAGCGGTAACATACTGAGTAACTCACTTTCTATCCCCGTAGTACAGGAAACGGCATGCCTTGCCAGCTGATGAATTGGTCTGCGGAAAATCACGAGAAAACAAACAATTCAATTAGGAGATAAAACTGATGGAACTCTGGGACTACGATTACCTGATGAATTTTAAGAATGCTGAAACCGGCACCGGCTGCCGAAGTGTTTTCAATAGTCTCATAACTAATATCTGATAAATATACTGGAAAATATATTTTTATTGGCCATTTTTCAAGTGGTAGTCAACTTGATTGGTTTTGAGAATTTTCAATAATGGAAAGAGCGGGTGTGCTTAACTGAGNCTTAACTGAGCTCCTGAACGGTCTGATAATATAAACACAACCTGAACACAATAAAAATTTGTGTGCGCGGCGCCACTGATTAAAAAGGGAGAGGATCGCTGTACATGTTGCAGGAAAACTGAAAAAGTAAACATAGCGGCGCAGTCTACTACCTAAAAAATGGACGTGCCACCTCATCCGATGCTGAAATCGGGTAACATGAACCCAAAACCTTTTTCAACGTGAAAAAGATAACAATGGAAAACATGATACGGCGATAGAAACTGATGGACGACTACCAACCGAGGAACAACATTGAACCATTTTGTTTGAAGGTTTTGCGATCAAGGCAGAAGTGAGCACAGTGAAGAATAGCGTTCTGTGGTACCGAGTGCCGGTAAAACACGCGGGTGATGCGGATGTCCCGCAGGTGGTCGAAACTCCCAATCTCAACAAAAATATAGGAACAGTCTCGTTCCGAGTGGCACCAGTTAAGAGGACTAGAGAAGACAATGTCAGTGACACTACGGAGCAAGCGCAAGCCCCGTAGTGCAGTGCAGCAGTAGTGAACATTCACTACATATGATGCCAACCAGCACGTCTTAAAGTGAAACACAGACTTCAAATTAGTTAAGGAAGCGAAGAAACTCTGGAGCGAAATATCGACAAATACATTCCGTCGAAAGACTTGTGATCACTCGGTTATCTGAGCAAAACTTTAGTAACTTCCACTCTGGAACAATCAAGAATCGCAGGTAACTGGGTCTCAGGGCTACCTATTCAGCGGTGTTTTTACAATACTATATTCGTTCCCGTTACAGTGATAACAAGTAAACTGGCTATGTTGGTAGCTGTTATATCACGGTCTGTCATGCTGTATGTAGAACACACGCATCGACTCATTGTCAGTGCCAGGGTGCAAACAACAGTGTATATCGAGCCAGTGCAATATGCGAAAATATTTTCTTAAAATAATCATGATTCTCGCACAGAGAAGTCTTTTCATTCAGTATGAACCTCTGACAAGCATCAAAGACTAAAATTTGGCGAACTCTATCCTTTTCCTTCGTTCGGTCACTGGTAGTGTTTGAACATACATGAATCACAGTTGTAGAAGTAATGCATAAAAAAGCGAAAGTCAAGCACCTCTGTAAACAAATAAGTGCACGGATTATTGGGGTAGGCTATTCGGTGTCCTGGTAGGCCCAAGAGCTTTCGACAATCTTTTAGGGAGAAACTTCGGCCATCCATATTCTCATGATCCAGACAAGCAACGACAGACTGGATCGTGACATCGTCTGATTAAAAGTACTAAAAAGTGTGTATTAGCCCAGATCCTTCCGTGGTAGTTGTCAGGAGTGGTACAACACTCTCTTGAGCTGAGGACATTCTTCACGACTCTTCCTCTGATACAAACGTAGGGATTATTTTTTTGAACTGCCACAAACTCCCTATGACCAAAATCAAATCAATTTTTAACGTCACTACGAAGACAGTATTGGAGTGCACCAAGCTGTACGCATGTAACAGCCATGGTGAATAGATGAATGCTTATGCACCAACATTATCTCTGCCTACGAATCAGCAAGTCAACTAACAAACTCGCAAGCAGCAAGTTTGTCACCATCCTAACGTTCCTCGCTCCTTTCTTCTGAGACAGGGCTTCTCGCAACTAGTCATCAACTCTCCATCTTCTTTTGACTTTTCATTAGGGTTTTCATTCTCCATGGTTGTATGTCAGTCGGGCACCGGTTTCCACTGTGTCGTTATTCAAGATAGATAGATCATTCTAATAAGAGAATAGACTCACAAAGACCCAAGCAACATATCAACCATTTGAAGTAATCGTCAGGAGAGCCTCCCCTCTAAGACCGAGTTATTGAGCAGCACTTTCAAAAAAAGTCTGAATATCTCCTTTCACTGTGGTGATGGTGATAGTACTTCATTTGGGTAGGAGAGACTACGCATGAGAACATAAACGCCAAATCAAAATGGACACACACTAAATGCTGAGCAACCAGTGTGTTAACCAAGATCAGTAAGTGATTACTCGCTGGCATATAAGGCTACCGTGCCTCATATGTGCGATCGAAAAACAGCTATTAAAGCGGGCCTATTCGCCACTTGGTTCCCAAGTTATTCAATCAGCCCCTCTAGAATGTACAATAAGCACAGACCAGCTTGAGAAGAACAGACGAACGAAACACGCTTGTGGCGCGTTATTTGTCCGCCACTGCAAAAAGTATTGATCGGCTTGACCTGTATTGGTAGAACCCTGATTGCATGAATGGATTCCGTCCGTTTTTGTGCCGCCTAATGCAGGTAAGTTCGTGTGTTTTGAATGAATCGTTTGGACCTTAATCACGAAGTGGGGAAGGTAGACTAGAAACCTCGCAATTCGGGACAATAAGAAAGTAGACTATGGCCTAACGCGCGAGGTTGATTTGGCAAAAAAACGAATGGCAATCGTGAAAGGTGGGAGGAAAACCAAAACAGATCATGAAGCTACCTGGCAGTATGGACAATTCGTGTAAAGGGAGTAAAACAATAATAGTTGGATAGCAAAACACGACTTATGGACACTGAGCACAAGTTTTACGCCCAAATAGTGGGATGTACATCGACGCCGAAAAATTCCCCAAGCATAACTCAGTTTCCTTGTGTCAATGAAAGTCAATAAAGCTATGCAAGGAATAGGGTTAGGGGTAGTAATTTCGAAAGCAGTACAATGACCGTCAGTATTTTTGCATGAAACGCTGTGGAAAGTTCCGAGGATGGATTATGAACATACCGCAAGGAATTAGGTAGGATACAATTAGGTAGAAAGTAAGAGAACCTCACCGTGTCGTGGAGTATGACTTCCTATGAAATATTTGGTCTGGGTCAATTATCTGGTTCATCAAGGCTAAACTAGTGTGGCATTTAAGCTTATGTGAGAAAACAAACGATAGTGGTATTCCCTGCTTTGTCCAGAGGACAAAGTGTGCTCTAGCAAGTGTGCTCACATCTACTGCACTTTTGTGTTGGAAATGGTCTCGCGTAGTCCAGCGTCCGGCTGAGCAGTAAACTTGTCGAAACAGATTATTACCACTTATTCCAGTGATTTGGGGTTGCGTCGAAACGCGTAGGCGACATGAGCTAACTCCTAAATCGTACAGGTCAAACAAAATTCAGCAACAGACGATGGATAAACCGGAATGAGAAAGTAGTGACTAATGCCGTTTGCCGGGCTGCGCACCAAAAACAGCTGGACTTGTCTGAGGGTTGGAATCACCGAACTTTGCAGCGTTCAATGACGAATTTCGTGAAAAAGAACACCCAGGTGGTTACCAAAGTCAAATTTTCAGCTGCGTTCCGTATTCATTCCACACTTTTCATTGGAGAGATTCCTCGCAGCAGCACCCATATAAGTACACGGACGGCGTGAATTCCGTTGACTTGGCTTTAGTCAGTGGTTAGAATTGGTAAGCGAAAAATCAAATTAAACCGGAACTTGTCTAAATGTATCAAGCTAAAAAATGAGGCTGACCTATGCAGTAAATTCAATCGAGGAATATCATAAACTAGAGATTCAGCTGAATCTCCATTTAAAACGAAATCGCTAGGCAACTAAGAGTATTTGACGTAAATAGAAACTTTATTACACAGCTGTGAATAAAAAACACAGTGAATTCATTGACGGTCCCTGCAAAAGATGGTAGAACAATAAACATGAAAGAGCAAAAACCCCAAAATTTATCGAGATGTATGTTAGCTCGGTTTTTGGATGGTTTGGAGGTTATACGAATTAGAGATTGGCAGATAACGTATCACAAACAGGCTTCTCTTGGAGACAGGACGAGGGCAGGAAATCAGTTCTACAGTGTGAACTACCGATTTGATAGATTTGACTGGATGAGCAAAAACGTTTGGCCCGAATGAGAAGTACAGTCAAGGCGACAGAAGAAGCAAGCAAGATTTTCCGTGGCAGAAACAGTAGAATAAAGCAAAAGACGCCATGTTCCGACCAGTCACTGAAGCGATGCTAACGAGGCGTACGAATTTGTGTTATATGGAGTAAAGATAGAGATAAGTGAGAAGATGGAACCGCCAGAAAAAGGACAGATGTACACAGAGATAATGTGTATTCGGGATTTATGGACAAACTGGACAGGACACGAATGTTTGTATGCCCAAAAAAGGGAAACAACGTGAACAGATGCTTGTGTCCCGAGGACTATAAGTTGTGAGAACCGAGATGGTGTGCTAGTGAAAAAGAGGCCAAGACGGGGGTTGTAAGTGTCCCTTTTGAACAACATTCCTCTACCAAAGAGCTGAGGGTTCAGATTTCGCCCCCTTATCGAAGCTCAACAGTAAAACATATTCCACACTGTGTCGGAATTCGAACCCCGGGAACCTGACTTTCGAGGCGAACGTTTTGCCAACAATCTACTATCAAGCGCTAGACGCAGCTGAAGTACCACATCTGAATAGATGGACGTGTTGACTTTCTAGAGATGTGATTGGCCGGCGAACGACTTGAACGACGAACCAGTAATTCATCTGGCGTCCTTCATTGTCAGGTTTGGCTCGGAGCTCAGACGACAATTTATGCAAGAAAATGCCCTGGAATAGAGCCCTATCAGTGGTTTGATTACTTTAACTAAAATAGCCTCAGCTTATGCGAAAATTATTTCAGGAGCAAAGTAGGTATCTGGGGAAGGGGTTGCGTGATTTAGAAGTTCTGGAAAAGGTGAACAACTTGGTGTAAATGTTGAGTGGAATAGCAAAGGATGTAAAGATTTTGGTGGTAATCGAATGGCGTTGGAAGATTACAGACGTTCGATCAAACTATCCACCAGAAGCTATTCCCCACCTAGATGAGGCGGCAATCAGCTTTCGTTTTTCACAGGAGAGAACCGCTGTGCTGTTAGACAACTGCTCTGGGCAAGGGGAATCCTGGGAACGATTGCCTCTAGTGTATTGAGATGGAAGGCAAATGAATTGATTCCACTTAAGGGACGAAATCTCCACTGAAAAATCCTCAGATTTCCACATACTACGAAAGTGGCGGATATAAATTGAAAAGAGAATGCAGGAAAACTGTTAAAATAATGTTTTTTGAGTATTACTGACAATTCACTTGCTTGTTAATCGGAACGGTTACTCTGACTTGCGTGTAACGATATGGTGGTTGGGAAAAATTTTTATGGTGGTTTCGATTTTTGACCGTACCTCTAGGTGGAAATGAGAAGTGTTTTAACTGCTCGCAAATGGTTTTTCTCATGATGCGGGCATACTGCACGCAATAGAGATCGAAGGAGATCTCTTGCACACTTACCAACGGATCACATGGAATGAGCTTGAAGAAGTCCTGCAAATCCTTACGAGCCTTCTCTTCGGAGCTGAGCGGTGGAAGCGTTTGATTGTTGCTATCTTGCACCATAACCGGGTCGGAAATGGATCGCAGAGAGATAGATACAAACAAAACTTGTGCGATCACAAGGAATTCAAGCACGAGCGGCAGCAGTGGCCAAAAGAAGACCGAAGTCATGTGGATCAATGCCCTGAAACCGCAAGTTGTCAGAAACAATAGAGACGGGATTTTGCTAAGTGGATGTGGGTGAGGGTAAACAGAACTAAATGGACATTCATTAAATGTGCTTAAGCATGCAGACGGTTCCACATGAAGCTCAGCACTGCTTGTGGCCCTGCATGATGTTCCAAAGCTGACCCCTTCACATTCATTTTTCGGCCAGCAAGAAATGCATAGTGGACTGTTGTTCACGTCTAACGATACTCTGCTTTTATTCAGATCAGAGGACTTTTATTAAGACAACTGTCGGGGACATGTATGACAGACAGTGCTACATTCTTCATAAACTGCTCACTAGAAAGACGCTTTCCGAGGCAAGAAAAACCTTCCAGTGGCAGCTCTCCTTTCTGAAGAGACCACTCCACAGAACCGGAAGAGATTTTCTGGTTCTCCAAATCAAAGATATACTTTCGTCCCCCTCCCAATGCGCAACTAATACAAATCTCGCCCATCACTGGACGCTTGTCGACTGCACAAAGTCGATAGTTTGACCTTGAATACGTACACATTATCAGTCGTTGAAAGGTTTTAGAGTCGCGATGATGACTGTAGGTAATAAAACTGAAATGGGGACGAAATAATACACGACCAGTCGAGGGAAAAGTTGCCACAAATTACACTTGTCTTGAGTGTTATGTGAGGACACATCCTCGTGATGAATTATCTTGTTTGGTGGTTCCTATTGTGGTTCACCTAGAAGGACAAAACGCTACTTTGTAATGACCTATATAGATGACATGGGCGAACTAAAGTCAGAAAACTGCGCCACCATGGTGGGTTCAAACCAAACGCCAAGAAAGCAATCGGAAACACCGGTACTAAATGAAAATCAGTTGCCACGGCATAAGAGCTATGTGATGATATTCCTATCTATCATGTTTTCACAGAGGGACACTCACTAGGTGAACATCATGCAATCCCCAGGTGTTTTTACGAGTAGAGATTACTGAGTGGCATGTTCCCCATCACGATGTAACGAAATACACAGCTGATTTGTTGAATCACTAAAGCTGCCACCATTCGCTACGACTATGGACTATGGTTCATATTCTAGTGATTTGTAACAACCATCACCTTCGTAGAACAACACGAAGAAGCGCAAAAACTTTCTTCGCCGACACCGCGAAAACAAAAAAAACGTTAGGTGTGACCTGAATCAAGCGGCTCGAAGTGTCAGCGACCGCAACGCTCATTATGGCTATCTGATAATAATGGTACCGTTTATATAGACTTAGGAAGATATTTTGGGGGCGCCTCCGGTCAAGTAAAGACAACACGAACCCCAGTTCATACCCACGATATCCACCAACCATATAAACCCGTCTTTGGGTATATACAACCAGAAAAGAAACACTTATCATGGGTAAAGGACTGGAATGAAGGACAGCACATTGACAAGCAATATATGGTAACGACTGTGATTCCCGCTTGCACACTGCGTTGACCACGAGGGCGTATACACTGCTACACCACGGCGAGCTCTAGTTTCTTCATAACGAGCAAGCGATGCGTATATTTACGGAGGAAACATAAGAGTGGCAGTGTTGAAACACGACAGATGGTGGCAAAAACAGCATTCTTGCACAGTGAGTTGATTGGGCCGCACCAAATACGCTCACTTGGTCCTACGGTTCGTATGCCAGATGACCGATTTCATGATGCCCTGTTTGCTGTGGCAGGTTCTGAATAGAGCAAACAATTAAGTTTGGAAACGATGATTTGTAAGGTTGGTTTATCACGGACCCATCACAGAGAGGGTTGAAGGTACTGAGTTGAGAGCGATGCCAACGCAATCAGTGGCGCTGTTGTATCCATTTTCATATTCATAACCGCTAGCCCAGTATTCTTTTGTTAATAGTTGTTTTCAGCACCTTCACCACCTCCAACTCCAATCCATCCGTCTCCACAAGCTACGGTGATCTGATCCACATCACGCGCTAACACGGTTACCAAACGGAACCTAAATCAAATGGGATTTTTTCTTCGTTGTCCTAATGTCAAGATGCAACCTTTGGACTCAAACTCCGCATGCTTATTTTGGTCAGTTATGGGAGACGACCGCAGACAGCGAGTGGGAAACTCGAAGCGTTTATGTAGAAACCTCCGCAAACTCTAGATTTTTGTCATTAGTATGCAGGACGTAGTTTAGACATGCGGAAATTCCGAAAAATACTCGACTGGTACTGATTTAGCATTCAATCCCCCACGCATCTTGATAATGATTTGGTTGCATAGTCTTGATTCATAGAACCTACCTCCCTATAAACTCGACGCCCCAAACAAGATTCAATTTTGTAAACGGAATGGGGTCTCGATCTGTCCGGGCATGGCATCTGACGCCTGATTGTGGTTAGCAAGAATATCGGACAGCCATCAGCCATAAACTTAAAACAGTGATACATGGGTTACAGATGAGTGATTCAGGTAGGAGGGTAACACATCGGTTGCTACATTGTGGTGGTGGCCATAGATGTCATACGTGTACAAGATGCACCTACCTTGAGACGCAGAAGTCGAACAAGTTCTGCCGTCAGTGCATATCGTAACACTGCAGAGAACTGAAGCGCAACGGTTGGAGAACGCTGGGATCAGTCGAATGATATCCCAGTGAGCAGCAGAACAAATGCAACACACATTCGGAATACAGAACCCGACAGATGGGAACAGTACATTACGCGCGCGTCAACACAAACTGCTACGTGGACGAAAACTTCATCCATTTCTAGACGAGCTCGTGGTTTGACTGGTTGCAATAAATGGTTGACCTGGCTATCAGTCTACTCCTTACGATCTAAATCCGACCATATGAAGTGGTGAATAGGAATTGCGCCAATGAGTGCCGCGATAGCAGGAGGCAAACGAATGTCAAAATACATTGAATTCAGAAGTAACCCACTTGCTTGCTTCATTCATTATCGCAATAGCGATTCGTATTCGATCGCGGAGGAATATTAGTACCAGAACGATGATCACGAGAATAATGGCCGATATGATACCTGGAAACAATCAAAAAGTAGAGATATTAGGTTTTGCTGGAATCCTTGCGTTTAGAAAGCACAGCACCAAACTATCATTAACAAAGCAACCAATCACCCTTTTCTTCACAAAAAACTACCAAAAATGATGGAATAACTTCGCGCAACGGGAGTAATACAAAATCAGCTGATGTTATGTAGACCTCTTTGCTTATCGGCAAGCGTAAATTGTTTTCCTGACCAGTGGAAGAGTGCGCGTTGTATCTGACGCACCGATGGAATCGTCCCGTCGTATTGGTGACATTTAGTATCTCCTAGCAAGAAACACGTCAGCATGTACGCATCAATTGTTTCATAAAGTCCGCTTAGATGTTGAACACGTATTTAAGTAAATTTCTGTTAGGTTAAATATCCCTTTGGCACCTCTGGGCTCGTAATAACTCTATAGACTTTTGACAGGGTACGATCACGAAAGCATTTAATTGGTAGGACATCAGCAGGATGTAGCTACTGAATACGACCATGGGATGGCTTAACAGATATTCCGTACTGAATAACCTAGGGTTCAGTGAAGGGTAATGGAGGAACGTTAACAAGGTTGAAGAAATCTTCCCAAGATGTAATGCTACCAGTCAGCTTAAAATAATCTGATCGAGAATACTTGCTTCCTACAGGTATCAACAAGAGACGCTGAACAACACGCTGAGTATGGCTCACGACAAAAGTATACGAACGCAAGCACAACGTAATTTTCACCCCATAAAATTGAAAACAGTTGTAAAGGAAGAGCAAAAAGACGGTCGTCTAAAAACTTTTACTTTCCAAATATTTCCAAGGATCGAACACCTGACGAAAACCCGAAAAATGGCCGCAACAAAACTACATGACCAATCTGAATTCCGCTGGAGAAGAATGACCGGGAAGGTTTTCCAGATAAACAGCACTGCTTGTTTTGCTGCTGACATAAAGGCGTTCATCAGGAAGTACTCGAACTCTTTTGTTCCCCTCCGATTACCCAGGGAATTTTTACTACATATCTTCAACTACAGAGTTACACAGCCCCAGAGACTCCGGTGATGATTTTCCGGAATAAAAAATTTAAGTACTGAAACACTGTGATGGTACCTTCTGATGTACCCTGTTTTCGTTGAAGGAAATTCGTACACACTTCATAATTAAGGCCAACCAGCGGCAGCTACTGCCAAACAGAGCTGCACGGGCTGAAACTGTATTGTTTACTTGACTGTCTGCTTCGGCGTTTTCAGGTTCATGCATTCCACCTCAAGGTAACGTCAGCACTAGTGACTTGTGCTTGCTTGCCATTGTGGGCTCTCTGCGACACATGCGTGGCACATGGCGTTGAGTGTACATTTTTGCCATTTACCCTCACACCAGACTCAATATGACAATCACTTTGTGCCTGATGTGCGAGTCTTGACTGCGTTAGGTCTTGCCACGCCTTGAAGACAGTTCAGCATTGTTTGTCCTTTCATCGATTGTTGGTCTTTACACGCGTATTTCCACACCAAAAATTCTTACATACGTTGGTACTGAATGGAACTGTTGGTGGTATGACTTCCAATGAGACGTTTCTATCTTTCATCTCATTCTCCTGTAATCCTTTCGCATTCATCGCTTGAATTCACTTTTTATGTCTGTGACGTTGTTTTCGAAAATAGACGACACTATATATATATATATATATATATATATATATATATATATAAAAG